TGGCAATCAGCTTTAACTTGATCAACCTCTCTCCGGAGCTGCCCAATCATCCCAACTTTTGCTGCAGCTGAGATATCGAAGTGTTAGCCTCCAAAGTAGATCCAAGACGACCGTACCTTGTTAATATCACGGTTACCTGCTCACCTAGCTCGGCCTTATTTTTTTGGGTTTTGGCCAACTCAACCCGAAGAGCCTTTAGCTCCTCCTCCTTTTGGCTACAGAGGAGCCTCGGGGCCCTCTCTTCGCCCGAAACTTTCTTGAGCTCGGCTTCACATTGGCTCAGCTCAGCTCTAAACTTTACAATGGCCTGTACATGAAGTGAAGATGTATCAGTCAAGGGAAAAGAAAGAAAGAGGAAAGTACGAATATAAAAATTAAGTGTTTTACCCGAGAGAGGAGATGCTGAGCCTCTTCGAAGAGGGCGGAAGCATCATTGAGGTCAGTAGTATCATCGATCCCAGCAAAGCAACTCTGAAAGGGATCTTCTCCGAGGACCTTGTTTTTATCGGGCATACGCGAGTATTGGCTTCCTCTGTTGCCCCCTTGAAATAAGTCGGCAGAGAAAGGGAGTGACCTGTTGTCATGGCCCCGAGATCGTCGCTCGGGGCGTTCTCATTAACTTTGGGGGTATCAGCATTTGCCCCTTCCAGCATATTTGATAAAGGCGGGGGAACAATCTCAACCTCCAGGGACACGGGGGCCTTGCCCGCACCTTCCTTCGGGGTTCCCTTACCGCAAGGTGAGGTCTCTAGCTTGGGGGGTTTGGTGGCCTCGACAGGTTTCATGGTTCGAGGCATCAGCTCCGACTCCTGACCATCATCTTCTTCGTCGTCTGGGGAACAGTGGGCCGAATCTGCGCCCGTTTAAGCAAACCTCTTCCACAGCCTTCGAGTAGGGGTATTCTTATCTTGAGGGTCTTCAAGCTTCGAAGCCCTCTTCCTTTTATTATCCTTCTCCAATTTCGGAATCGAAGGCTTGGTCCTTTCCCCGGGCGGAGCCGGCCTCATCTCGGATGCATCTCCAAGGCCTGCACGAGTAAACATGAGTGAGTTAACGCCACGAATATATGGAAAGTTTTTGGAACTCGGGAAAAGCACTTACCATGGTTCTTGGCCTCCCACCGGCCCTTCGATAATTCATGCCACTCGCGCTCGTCGTAGGAAGAGGTGGCAGCTAATTTCGGACCCAATCCTCGAGGTCCGGTATCGCGAGAGGCGCCCAGGCAGTAGCTGACAAAAGGAGGGTAAAGGCATTATGAAATGTGAAAGTAGAACATGAATAGATACCGAGGAAAAGAACCCCACTTACGATTAAAGTTCCATCTCTCCGGGAACGGCATTTTATCCCCGGGGATGACATCCGAAGTTCTTACTCTTACGAACCGGCTCATCCAACCTCGATCTTTGGTCTCGTCAGTACTGGCAAAAAGGGCTTTCGTTGTTCGACGTTGCAACTTGATTAGCCCTCGAAATAGTTGGGGTCGATACAATCGAATCAGGTGGCTGAGGGTGAATTCCAACCCCTCGGCCTTTTCGGAAAAGAAGCGCAGCATGATCACGATGTGCCAAAATGAGGGGTGAATCTGGCCAAGGGTGACTTCGTACGTTTTGCAGAAGTCAATCACCACCGGATCGAGGGGACCCAGTGTGAAGGGGTAAGTGTAAACACTTAAAAAACCCTCCACATGAGTAGTAATGCTTTCCCGAGGGCTGGGATCTTAACCACGACCTCATTTCCTCAGCCGCAATCCTTCCTCACATCTTCAAGATGTTTCTCCGATATCAAACTAATATATCGAGATGCATGCTCGCATCGGCTAGGGACATCGGGGGGAGGTTCTCAATACTAAAGTCCTTTTTAATCACGCAAGGGCCGGGGGTGATCTCCTCAAGAGTGGGCGGCACCACCGGTTTGGCCGGTCGGGAGGAAGAAGAAGATGACGCTTTATCCTTTTTGGGGACCGTTTTCGACGTTTTAGCCATGATTTTAAGCCAAAGAGTACAGGTTGTATCAGAATGTGGTGTTTTTCAACAGAACTTGGCATCTTTCGGCGCTTAAAAAGGCGGTGGAAACAGGTGATTGAGAGAAAGAGATGAGGAAGAGGAAGATGTAAAGAAAGAGCAAAGTTCTCTGCTCAAAAGAATAGCCTCATATTTATAGGAGGGCAACGATGGTTCGGCAGCACTAGTGGCCGACCAATACTGGCGAGCATTCAATGTTTTGGGGAAGTGGACCGACGGGATATTTCAGTCACTTCGAACGCCTATGTCACACAAAGGACGTCATCATTAAAGACTTCGGGAAAGCTAGGATCAAATCGTTTCTTATCATTTCATTCTAAGAAACGCGGAGACTATCTATATACGGTCAAAGTCATATGCCCCCATTGTAGAAGCTCGAGGTTCCGCCCTAGGCCCGAGTCCGGGAAAGGTCAAGTTCGAAACTGGTGGATCAGGCTCGAGCTCGAAGATAGAGCGTAATGCCCGGAGGCAGGAGTTCGAGGAATACCGAGGCCAAGTGCGCTCGACTACGAAATAGTACCGTTATGGATTTGTACCAGAGCGAGCTAGATTCCTGCCACGTCCCTGAGATCATGGCGCAAATTCCGGAATAAGATCGTACAATTCGGTACTAGGCGGTTAGACAGCTGTAACAAGAATATTCCCTACTGTAAATAGAAATATTCCTTATTTAGGGTTCCTCTATTATAAAAAGGGAACCTCAATCATTTGTAAGACCATCTTTTGACTGAGCAAAGAATATACTCTCTACCTTTTCGCTTACTGTTCATCAGCATTGTCCTTTAGCTCTATTGTTCTTATTTTGCTTTTATACTTGTTCTTATTATACCAAGCCTACCTCGAGGTCCATGTGCTCGAGGTCATTGCTGTTGAATAATATTGGGTTTGATTCACCTTTCTCTTTCGTTTTTACTTCATATTTCTTGATTATTAATTGGTATTGAATTAAATCATATATCTTTAAAACCACATATCAAATTTAATTGTTACACGTATTTTTCGAGGCAAACAATATATATATGATACGATCGAGAAATTGAAACATGTTCTTGAAAAAGAGAAGGGTAAAGCTGATTGATGGCATATGAGTTCATTGAATCAAACTGTTTAGGTGTGGGATAAGGAAAGATCGTCTTTTTACCAGAAAGAAAAATAAGGATGGACCACCAGCACAACACCTGAATAGTGAATACCCAATTACCCATACATTAGTTTCAGCAACAGACACATCATGGCAATTAATTAAGTCTCTCAACATTCGGCCACATACCTACTTTTTCTTGGTATAATTGGGAGTATTAGAAATAATTTTTTAAAATCTTTTGTAAGCTACATGACTTAAATCAGTATGTAGAAGAAACTCTAAATCCTTGAATGCAACTTCTTTTTTTCTTTTTGGTAAGTAGAAAATTTTATTGAACGCAACTTTGCATAACAGCAATTTGTCTTCAAGTTTGCGCCCTTCGTTTGCCAAAAATCGGCACATGTCGATTTGCCTTCATCTAGATATGTGTAATGGTGGTCTTGTTCGCTTCTGTTGAATATTTGCAATCTTCACTAAGGATATTATAACAGTGTTCCATATCTAATATACATATATAATAAATAATTCTTGATTTATGTACGCAATATAAATTTTTTATATACACATCATAATTTTTTGATAAAGGGTGTTCAACTGACCCCTTCATTGTATGTGGCTACACCACTGTGTTCTCCTCATTGATAAACCTAACGGATTTGTTTCCACTTCTAAATCTATGTATCCCAAATATTTTGCTAGTGTTAGGACACTCCCAATCTTTACCTGTCCATTTCATTATCCTCATTTTTATCTCCTCTTTAGCTTTAGCATAATCTGGATTTGATACTTTGAATTGTTCCATTGAATTGATGGACTTAATTAATGTTAGCAGCAGCAATTTCTGTCGCTAGCTGCTATAATTTACAAGGGCAACTTTAAAAGAATACTAAAAAGTACGACACGACATGAAGAATATTACTAGTACAACTTAGGACGAAGCAACGTGAAATAAAATCTGCGCAAAGTGAAAAGGATGTTTGATCCTTCAAACACATTAATCTAAGGACCCAATCAAAAATCTGCCTTTTAAATTGATAGGATTCTACTCTTATCTCCTTTCAATTTGAGAGTTATTTTTAGTGGTAGATAGTGAAAAGCACTTATATATAATTGACTTTAACTTCTTAATTATCTCTTGACAAGATTTTAAGATTTCAGTGAGAATAAAATCTATTCCGTTTTCTGGTTCTACGGTGCACCAAATTCGAACGGATGTTATATTTACCTCTACTTTAGTTTATGGAAAGCTAAGATATTTTTTTTTTTTTTGGTTTTTCCATCCGATGTTCGGTACCCACATTGGGGCCCGATTAAATCTGAATTCGCGCCGGAAAGTCCCACATTGGGGGTAAAATGCTCCCTAACAAAGGCGACTCCATATCCAGGGACTCGAACTCGAGACATCTAGTTAAGGATGAAGAACTACTTACCACTCTGTTGAGATTATTAGTTAATTAGTTAACTAGCCTTTTCTTACATTGTATTTATTTACTATCTTTTTCTTAGTTAGGTTAATTAGTTAGTTGCCAGTTGTCAAGCAAAGCTCTATGTGTATAAATATCACGAGACACTTTGTAAAGCTTTAAGCTTTCATTTTCTCTAATAGAAAAGTCTCTGGAAGCTTCTCAAAATATCTCTCTCCTTTTTCTGTTAACTGTTTTCCGCCATTGGAGCTCATTCGAGCTCAACATCTGTTCTTCTCTTTGCATTTTAACATGGTATCAGAGCACAGGACATAATCCTTAGCTCGATTCTGTTTTTCCTTTTCCCTTGCTGTGAGAAAATCTAGTTTTGGTGCTGTTTTTAATTAGGGTCAAAAGTTAACCCTAGAGTTTGAGATCGGTGTTGAATTTTTGTAAATTGAGCTGCTTGTGAATGCATTTCGACTAAGATTCATGGCGATTGAAGAAAATACTTCAAGTTCTACCAATCCACTACTCGATTCAACCAATCCACTATATATGCATCCGTCTGAAAATGCAGGTTCCATGCTTGTGCCGGTAGCCTTCGATGGATCGGGATATAGGTCGTGGAGACGTGGTGTACTTAGGGCCCTCTCTGTGAAGAATAAAATAGGCTTTATAAATGGAAAATGTGGGAAGCCAGATTCAAAGGACCCTACATTTGACCAGTGGGAAAGGTGTGACAATGTGGTGACTTCGTGGATTCTGAATTCCTTATCAAAGGATTTAGCGGATAGCCTACAATACGTGAATGATGCAAAGGAACTGTGGGAAGAGTTAGAGGACAGGTATGATCAGACCAATGGGGCGAAACTCTATCAATTGCAGAAAGAGATTAATGATTTGAGTCAGGGAACACTCGACATTACTGGATATTACACTAAGATGAAGAAATTGTGGGAAGAGTTGAATACTCTGATTGCTCATGCTCAGTGTAAATGTCATTGTACATGTGGTGCTAAGGCCAGTATGCACAAGGCAGAGCAAGATAGGAGGTTGATTCAGTTTTTGATGGGATTAAACGAAGTTTATACTGTGGTTAGGGGAACCATTTTGATGATGAATCTGTTGCCTTCTTTGGCACAGGCATTTGCTATTCTTATTCAGGAAGAGAAGCAAAGGGAGATGAAACCAAATAATCATCTGATAATAGACTCTAGTGCCTTGAATGCAAACAGAGGAGGAAACAACAATTTCAGAACAACTTATGGTCAACAGGGAAGTGGAACTGGAGGTACTCCCTATCCAAATTACAACCAGTCGAGTGGAAATGGAAACAATACTTTCAGAGGAAATTGCCCTGCAAATAGACCACGACTAATTTGTGATTATTGTAAGAAACCAGGGCACACTAAAAACAGGTTCTACAAACTCCATGGGTATCCACAAGATCCTAGGTTCAACAAGGGGAAGAGAGTAGCTGCAAATGTCTTTGGAGACTGTTGTAGTGTCAATGCTACAGGTATAGGAGATAGAGAAAGGCCACAAACTCAAGAAGAAGGGCGAGTGATGAAAACCTTGACCAAGGAACAGTACAATCAGCTGATCAACATTTTGGAGAATTTTCAAACTGGGACCACTGAAGACAATTCTGAGATGAAGGCAGGGGCAGTGAACTTTGCAGGTATCTCAGCTTGCTCTACCTCTTCTGATTCTAGTGTTCCTTCATGTGAATGTTTTAAGCCAGATGCTGACTCTTGGATACTTGACTCTGGGGCCACAAATCACATGACATATACCAAATCCATTTTGACCAATATAAAAACCTTAGTATATCCATTCCTAGTAACACTGCCTAATGGTTATAAAGTAAAGGTGACACTAGTAGGTGATGCAGTCTTGAGTCCTAAATTCACACTCAAAAGAGTCCTCTTTGTACCTAGTTTTAAATTCAATCTAATATCTATCCATTGTTTGACAGTTCAGTTTGATTGTTTTGTAATCTTCACCAAATTTTCATGTATTCTTCTGCAGGCCCCTTCACTGAAGAGGCCTCTGGAGATTGGTAAGGCTTCTGTGGCCTATACTATCACATTTCAGAACTTTGTAAGAGGGCATCATCTGCCCTGACTTCTACTCAAGTTTCATCTAGCTTACCAGATAAGAGTAATGCACACTCTCATTCACGTCTTGTTCCTTGTACTGCACCTAGTTTACCCATTCCATGTCATACTTGTAATAAAGAGTGTGCTAGTTTGCATAAGAATTCCAATCACAATATTTCTCTTTCAAGTAATAAAGGAAACATTTCTGTGTCAAATATATCTGCTTCCACTTCTGCTACTACATCTACATCTGATGCTAACATGGTTGAATTTTTGTGGCACAATAGGCTAGGACATGTTCCATTTGCCAAAATGAAAGGCATCAGTGAAATACCAGCCAAATTTTCACCTACCCAACCTTTCCTTTGCCCTATATGCCCAATGGCCGGACAAAGTAGATTACCTTTCCCTGAAAAGACCACCATCACAACCAAAATCTTTGAAAAACTTACACGTTGATTTGTGGGGGCCATATCATGTTCCAACCCATGATAGATACAAATACTTCATTACTTTTGTAGATGATTATAGCAGGTGTACATGGACTCATATGTTGAGTTGTAAAAGTAATACCCTGCATACTATAAAGGCCTTCTTTGCCATGGTAAAAACTACAGTTCAACACATCTGTCAAAACCATAAGAACAGATAATAGGGACGTGAATTCACTAATTTAGGTAAACGTAACCTCTTTCTTTCTA